TGTTCATGGATCTAATGAACAGTGTGTTCCGGAAGCATCTTGATCAGTTTGTTGTGGTCTTCATCGATGACATCCTGGTGTACTCCAAGACACAGGAGGAGCATGCCGAGCATCTGCGTGTCGTTCTGAGCATTCTTCGGGAACAGCAGCTTTATGCCAAGCTGTCCAAGTGTGAGTTCTGGTTGCACGAGGTTACCTTCCTCGGTCATGTCATCTCAGCCGAAGGTGTGAAGGTAGACCCGTGTAAGATAGCAGCGATCACGGAGTGGAAGACTCCGCGGAATGCACGTGAGGTGAGGAGTTTTCTCGGACTGGCGGGTTACTATCGTCGGTTCGTGAAGGACTTCTCCAAAATAGCATCGCCACTACACAAGCTGATGAGGAAGGACGTCAAGTTCATTTGGACTGACGCTTGTCAGCAGAGTTTCGAGCGACTGAAGAAGTGTCTGACCGAAGCACCAGTTCTAGTCCAGCCCACTCCAGGAGTGGAGTATACGGTTTTCAGCGACGCGTCCCATAACGGCTTGGGGTGTGTTCTCATGCAGGAGGGCAAGGTCGTTGCTTATGCGTCCCGGCAGTTGAAGCCACATGAGTGTAATTACCCGACGCACGACCTTGAGTTAGCAGCTATTGTACTCGCTTTGAAGATCTGGAGGCATTATCTCTACGGTGAGACGACGCGTATCTTCACCGACCATAAGAGTCTTTAGTACCTGTTGAAGCAGAAGGATCTGAATCTCCGACAGAGTTGGTTAGAGTTGATTAAGGACTATGACTGTCACATCGCTTACCACCCAGGTAAGGCGAATGTGGTAGCCGATGCCCTTAGTCGTAAGACTCTAGCTGTGCTACACGTCCAGCCTACATTACAGCAGCAGATAGCCTCAGCCCAGAGCAGTGATGATTTCTGTATCGAGACTGTTGGGCTCGTCTCTCGAGGAGAGAAGCCGGATTTTGCAGTTCGAGATGGTATCTTGTACTATAGGGAGCGTATGGTTGTGCCAGCGGGGGAGGTGAGAGAACGCCTGCTTCGTGAAGCACACAGCACTGTGTATACCATGCACCCGGGTAGTAACAAGATGTTCCAGGACCTTAGGAGACATTACTGGTTGCTCGCGATGAAGCGGGAGATCACTGAATTCACGTCGCGGTGTTGGACTTGTCAGCAGGTCAAGGCCGAGCACCAGGCTCCTTCAGGATTGCTTCAGCAGATCACCATTCCCGAGTGGAAGTGGGATCGCATTACGATGGATTTCGTCGTGGGACTGCCATTGTCACCACGTAAGCACGACACAGTTTGGGTCATCGTTGATCGGTTGACCAAGTCAGCACATTTCCTCCCCATTCGTCGTGACTTCTCACTCCAGCAATTAGTGGAGTTGTACATACACGAGATCATCAGGCTACATGGAGTACCGTAATCTATCATTTCGGATCGTGACCCTCGATTCACATTACAGTTTTGGAAGAGTCTACAGAGGACATTGGGCTCCGATCTCCACTTTAGTACGGCGTTCCACCCTCAGACAGAAGGTCAGTCGGAGAGGGTGATTCAAATTCTCGAGGATATGATGCGTGCGTGTGCAATCGACTTCGGGGATGATTGGGAGTGATACCTGCCACTCATGGAGTTTGCATGCAACAATAGTTACCAGGCTAGCTTTGGTATGGCACCGTACGAGGCTGTGTACGGTAGACCCTGTTGTACTCCTACCTGCTGGACAGAGCTTAGCGAGAGGAGGTTGGAAGGTCCAGATTTGGTTCGTGAGACCGAGGAGAAGGTCCAGGTGATTAAAGACCGACTTAAGGTGGCTTCGGACCGATAGAAGTCCTACGCCGACCTTAAGAGGCGTGACATCGAGTATGCAGTCGGGGATAAGGTTTTCCTGAAGGTGTCGCCTTGGAAGAGCGTCCTACGTTTTGGCAAGAAGGGGAAATTGAGTCCGAGGTTTATAGGGCCGTACCCAGTTATTGAGAGGGTAGGACCTGTAGCTTACATGCTCGAGTTACCATCAGAGTTGAGCAAGATCCACGATGTGTTCCACGTGTCCATGCTCCGGAGGTACCGGTCGGACCCTTTTCACGTGATTCCAGCTGATACGGTCACACTTGATGAGAATCTTACGTATGAGGAGGAGCCGGATGAGATTCTGGCTCGTGAGGTCCGTCAGTTGAGGAACAAAACCATTTCGCTGGTTAAGGTGCTGTGGAGAAGTCAAACCGTCGAGGAGGCGACATGGGAAACCGAGGAATCCATGCGCACTCGTTATCCACATCTTTTCAGTGATCAGTGATCAGGTAATTTCGAGGACGAAATTCTCTTAAGGGGTGGATAATTGTAACGCCCTGCAACCCGGTCTAAAAGAATTGATTAATTTAATTAATTAATTACTGTTCCGGACCGGGGTTGGGAAAATGAAAAGTTCTTAGAAAAATTATTTGATCATATCATTAAATTCGTCTTGACTGTCTTATTCTAGAAACGCAAACGGATTTCAATTCGGACTCGTTTGGGGGGGAAACGCGTACCGTTCAGGTCAGATTTTACATTTCGGAGTAGAGTAAATATTTGTAACCTCCATCCCATTCACACGCCACTCTAATCATGCCCACTTAAGTCCCCATTACTTGCTTCATTATTATTCTTATTTTAAAACCCCCATCCCATCCTTTTCCTCCTTCACTTTGTAACCCCCATATTCAACACACCACCACTCTCTCTTCCCTTTTCTCTTGATTCGGCCAAAGCAGCAGCAGCACCAAGGGGAATTCTTGTAGTAGACGCGGAGGAGGGAGAGAGGGAAGTGCACGTGTGAAGCAGGCCGTTCGTTTGTTCGTCGGTTGTCCGTTCATTAGCACCATTCGTTCATCTCGTTCCATCAATCCCTCCATTTAGAGGTGAGTAATTGTCCCTCTAGTTCTAGAACATTTAGTTATAATCTATGTCGTTATATTCATAGGAATATCGTACGCAACCTAC